TTATAATTTAATAATTTCATTTACAACGCGTATAACGTGCACGGGACACGGCGAATACGGTTTGCACGACCACCGGGGACTTGCTGCGGGCGACGACGACGACGACGACGACCAGAACGTAGAGAAAAAAAAATTTAAACAAAAATATGCAGTACGGTGAGTGCTGCGCGTACGTAACAACAGCGACGAACAAGTGCCGATATTGTGCGAACGTACTGGGTCCGTTTGGATCCGTGTACGATTGGTTTCGAACAAAATGATCAGATCGACAACAGTTTTTGTTTTCGATTGGTTTTTCACTAACGCCGATATCGCGAGTTACATACTAGTTTTTCTTATTACTTTACGAATATCGATTTGTTATCAGCGTTAAGTTTGAATTCGAATCTCCGAAACACGGTCGGTCACGAATTCCGTTTTACCGGTTCCTTCGGGATCGGCGTGGAAACGCGGTTCAACCGGCCGAAACAACGTTGAGCACCTGAACTGCATTATGAAAACGTATCGGTTTGCCGGAGAAAACAAAAATAAATTACATAATGTTATTGAACAAAACGAAATGATAAAATATTAACATCGTAGAATACAATATTATTATGCATGCAGTGACGTACACTAGTTTCTCAGATGGTAGTGCGGCGCGGAAAAAATTACACCCACCCGCTTACCTAATAACATATTCGTACTAAAACGTTTCTGTACTCCGTATAAAAATTCGTCACAAGATTATATAATTATATTTTTATGTACCACTGTGGTCGTAGATTACCTTCGGTAAACGAATTCGAATAATATTTTTAATTTATTGTTCTATTAATCGGCCGTTCAGTTTCCTCGAGAGTCCCAAGTGTACGTCGCTGACGCGGGACGTATTAGACTCCCGACATAAACGTATACATTTACGCCATCATCCGGTTGATGATTATTTGAGTTTATTTCTAAAATCATTATACCCGATTTCCATACGGACAACACTTTTAACATTGAGAGTTATTGCCGGAGAACACGGGAAATTCGCATTATAATCGAAACTGTTGAAAAAGCTCCTATTGAATGTCAATTATTGATATTACAACAATTTAAATATTCAGGATGTTTTTATTTGATATTTGAAATTTGCATCTTCGCGCATTATAATTTCTATACGTGTACCGGATACCACGGTTGTCGATTTCCTCACACGTCGGTGCACGTAAAACGGAAACAAACTGCGGTTACCGCCATTCGTATAGGCTTTGATGATCGGTGTATCGGTTCCGGTACGACACGGAAAGACGTTAAACGACGGCGAATTTAACACGTCGTCATCGAATTTATATACACACATATACGTATATCTTCGTGAATAGACAAATATTAATTCACATCCGAGCACTGAGCAGGAATATATATAGTGGCAAAAGAAAGAGCGTGCAGTTAATTTGAATATTTTTAAAACCAAATTTTTATAATGAGCTAATGCAATGGATTTCGTTATTATTATAGTATATTATTATAATCTGCGTACCATTACATTGTATACACTTCGAGCAGAATAAAACAAGCTTAATCGTCGACTTTGGTTGGTGCTTAACCTCATTACGATTTGGGTTCAACTTCTAGGACAGTTTTGATGCGCATTAACTCGTTAATATACCCGAAAAAAGGATTAACAGGAAATAAAAACAATCCCAAAAGTTGAATAGTAATTCTATGAAATCGATTTGAATAAAGTTAATATATTCTCGCTCCACCGCCAGTATTTAAAAACGATTTTCCAAGCTCAGTTAGTTTAGACTTCGAAAAATTCGTTTTTGAACACTTAATTTCATTTATTTTCAATATTTTTAAGCCTGTTAGAAATAGCAACCAGATGTTGTAAGCATGACCGTTATTTAATTAGTACATATTTTATGGTTTAGGAGGGACAAAGTCGTGTAAATTGTATAAAAACGCAGAATAGTGCGTAGCGCGAATTTCGAATAATTTTATGCACTGCGGCGCGCGTACAGAGAGGGTTGCTGTACAACAATATTTCAAAGCACTGAAATTCGAATATGATAATATCGAGACCGGAATAAGTCGAAAACGCACAGCGTATTGACCTCAAATACATGGTGTTGATCAGACGTGCGCGTGACATCAAAGGCTTTATTACCGCGATATCGGAATGTTTCCGTCGAACAAACTTTACTACAAGTTCAGATCGAATTCGCCAACCATCTGTTCGTATAACGGTCATGATATATATATATAAATATATATGTGCCTGTAAATGTCAACACAAAACGTCGGCCATTCGTTGACTTTTTCGCGTAAATATAACATATACTGTTTTTGTGGTCCTTGGGCGTAACGTTTACGGTCCGTCCGTGTTTATTTTTTCTTTTCTTTTCTTTTTTTTTTTTCCAAACGCGACATTATTTCCACTATACGCTATTTAAATAATTCTAAAATATTCACAACAGATACAATCAGTTCCGGATTTCCGCGGAGCCGGTTTTTCTGGGGCAACCACGTATACCTACATGTAAATATATGTATAGGTGTACAATGTACGCATTACATAGCGGTCTCACATGGATAATGTCCGTTTGCTCCAGACGGTCGACCGAAAAGTTGTTGTTGGTCGTTAAACTTGTTACCGACCACCGCCGCAAAAATGAATATTAAACGAGTTCCGACGGAGTCCCGTTTTCGAAAGAAAATCGGATTCCGATTTGAAACAACACGCGGTGTACACGAATTTCGTGAAAGGTATTAAGTAGTTTTGATTGATGAACACAGGGCCGCACAAAAAACACGAACCAACAGTGATTATAATGTATTATTATCAACATCTTAAACGTTATCCCTTTTACTTTTGTTGCATAACATATTATTCCAACATTAGCATGTACATGTATGGTTTAGTAGTATGGGATAAAATATTCGCCAAGAAAAGTTTTGGAAAAGTTAACCGAAGAAGCCCCCGATGCGTCATTCTATATTCATCACGACCAATTCCCTCGAGTTAGACGTTTCGCGTTGTATAAGCAGATAAGGCAGGGGCACTATACTTAAGGGGACAAGAAAGGGCACAGACTACCCTCCCCCCCCACCAAGTTAGTTATGTACACTGGTATACGTATAGGATTTAATCGTTTATTTTGATTTGGACTTTTTTTTTATTTTTTTTTAAAATTTAATCTACTTTAATCTACTTGATTTCAGGATCCCCCTCGTCAAGTGATAAATTTCTAGCCACGCTCACTTGGAAAAGTATCCTTGGATCCACGAGTAAGCATTGCAGATACACGGTTTACGATGATGGTTTATTTTATGTATGTAAATCAAAAATACCATTGAAATCTATTAACGTCATGAATAATGTTAATGCTGTATATTTGGATCCGCGAACAAACAAATCGTTCAAATCTGCTGGTATCAGAATCCATTAAAATGATTTTGTATTACATAAAAATAAATATTGGTGTATAAGTTTACGTACTGATCTTAAAAAGTTTCAAAACTCTCAATTAAACTTATATAGGTACTATATTATATGTTTGATGGTTAAAAAGAGATGGAATCTTAACTAGAATAGTAAAAGCAACGAAAATTAATGAACACGAAAAGGAATTCTCAAGAATCATTAAATTAAAATCAAATACTATACATTTACGTACGAAATGCATAATATAAACTATTTTGAACTTTCATTAATTACATACAATAACATTTACTATCGGCTCAAACGATTCGATTTAGCAGTATTTTACTGTTTTTCAAACATAATGCAGATCAAACCGTCGGCGGAATACATGTAATACATGTAAAAGATTCGGACACATTCGTGAGAACGAGAATTGAAATAATGTCGACTGAAAGCTTACTTAAGTCTGGCCGAAAAAACGTTTAGGCTGCTGTTTAAATCTCGCGAACATTAAATCGCCGAATTCATCTACTACAATACACTGAACCCTTCAGTATCGATTTTATACTATTTCCCAAGAGAGATGAAACGTCGCTTTGAATTCCATTAACTCTCGAAAAATGTTTATAATTATTTTTATACTGTAGCACAGTCGATCTTAATTATCTTATCTTTAATAAGATCTTATTAATTATACTCTTACGCATACGTTAAATGCTAAATATGCTTATTAGTTTCGATAGTAAATAACGTTTATTTTTAATTTTAAAGTAAAATCGACACATCATAATAATAGAAGCGATGACTGAAAAACGGTTTTACATATCGTGAGAACGAAATATCCGTTGATATTTTTTTAAACGATGTAATTTAAATTAACAGCCAGACAGCTAACTAAAAAAATATGGTATACCGCCACGTTAATAATAAACATTTTTTTCATTATAAATATTATATTGAAATGTATATTTACAATTAATAATATAGTAGTCGCGATTAGATAAAGTCGAAAACAACATGCGACTAAAGATAACGTAAATCATTTCATATGTGAAAATGACATTTTTTAGTTTTATTTTGTGTAACCGAAGTATTCGGGTTTAAGATATTATAATATATTTGTTGATATACGATCTAGCAAGTATCGTAAATAGGGAAATAATATATAATACTCGTATTGTGAAAAGCATTGTTTTTATGACGAAAAAAAAAAAAATTAATATAAAAATAGAATAATAATAATAATAATAATAATAATTAGGCGTAAAAAATACAGTAAGTGGTCGTAGACAGTTGGAATAGGAGAAGAAAACTGAGTTTTTATAACATAACCGAGATATGATCCAAAATTTTGTTGACGTAAATGGGTAATAATGCAATGATACTGAAGTTAAAAAAACACAGTAAGCAATGTAAACGTATTCAATACATTATTATGCACTTTAACAACATAAAGTATATTAGAACAGCATATGTAAATTACGTTTAAATGTATGTCAATTCGAATACACAAGTCATGGCTATGAAAAATTCAAATAGGTACGCAATACGTACATATGTGCGTTAAATGGAAGAGTTACATAATAATAAACAAATAAATAAATACCTTAGAACTCTGCAGTAGAAAACCATATAAAATTAAATTTGAACTCCGAAGTTATGTACGGAGCACAGTAATACCATGACAGCGGGCAAGGAAACTTTCAGCACTTATATCGTGCTGTAGGGATTTTTAGATATGAAAAATATTGAGCATAAAATGCATAGTGTAAAATGTACTTGTATATAATGTATCATATATCTGTTGTACGGCTGATTGTAAGGTAGTTGTGCGTCATCAACAAATTTCGAATTTATACTCGTAGCCTAACCGACAGAACAGGTTTCTGCGCATTTAAAAATAATAATAATGTCTATAAACATGTATTATGTAAATTAACGATGACCAGAGAACTAAATTGTACAGCATTGATTGAAAAATTTAGTCTTGTAATATTTATCGTTCAATGATATTATACTATTCAAAATGAACAAATATTGTTTTTGCGATTCCGTGTTTATTATAATGCGTATCATTTTATGTTCTATTATAAAAGGCATTTTTTTTTTATTTTTAATCATTTTATTTACTACTTTTTAGATAACACTATGGCTCTTAAAGAATGTTGCCCATTGTTGTTTATGAAATGAACGATTAGATACGGAATATAGTATTACTTAAGTATAATGGGCACTGTAAAAATGTTAATACTTCATTTCAATTTTATTTGAACAAAACTCGAAAACACTAAAGAGGATTAAGTTTTGACAATATTATATTAGACTCTTAATCAATTTTTGGTGCAAGGCGATAACTGCAGTACGCTTACTATGTTAATAAAAGACGCGTGATTAATAATATTATAACTTATGTATATTATATGTTAATACAAAATCCTCGACAATTTGAATAACAATACGGATTGTGCTATTCAAAATATGCCTTAATTAAATTATATTTTTTCGGCTATTACATGACTTGCGAATTAGTTCATGAAAATGGTCATTAAAATGAATATCACTAACGCTGCGAGCTTTAAAGTAAGTAGACATTTAAAAAAAATATATTAGCTGACTTGACCTGTATAATTCATTGCTATTTGCATTTCATACAGTTATTGAAAATGTGAATACCGCATTAATAGTTATCACCCGAAAATGTGTGTTTTAATACTAACGAAACGAAAAAAAAAAAACGATATTTCACTTGTTGTTATAATTATTTAATTTATTTTCGACTTTTATGTTTTTTTCAAACAGTATATTGATAACGATAAATTTCCTAGCACAGTGAAAACTTCAATAAATCGAAATTCAAGGGAAATATAATTTTTTCGATTTATCGAAGTTTTCAACTTTCCAAGGTTTCTGAATTATCAACGTTTTAAGAAAATAATATAAAATCTGAGTTTTTTGTTATTACATAAAAGTTGCAGTATGTATTATTAAAATAGTATTATTACATTTTGTTTTTTTTAAAAAAAATTTAAGATCATATCAGTAAATCAGTTCTTTTAAAATAAATATTAAAAAGTATGATAAAAATGTATGCAGTGCTCTTTAAAATTAATAATTTGATATCCTATTTCGGAATTGGTTATTTCTCGTGTAATTATCTATAGTATTTTCTACGACGTTTAAAGTACACTTTATTATCGACATTACTAGATTGTTCAGTAAACGTCCTTAGCGATGCGAAAGCAGATCTTGCCAGCTACTCTGAAACATGAAGTACAGGTTCAAGCTTAGCATCGTCTTCTTCATAAATATCTGTAGTGTCGCGAATGGAATCAATTATGTCCTCGTCTATCAGAATAGCAGAAACGACGACGATTTCGTCGATTTTTTCCTTTGTTACCAGAATCAAAATGTCGATGTAGGTATCAATGTGTCGTCTTACTTAACTCTAAGATAAAATACACACGATCTAAAATAGTTCATGTTTGATGTTGTCGTTACGTTTCTCCACGCTTTATAAATAATTCGCCCAGTTCGAAGAATATCGATTGAAGTAGATTCATATTAATTAATTTTGAAATTATATTGGCAATAAAAATTGTATGAAAAAGCAGAATTTCGCGTTTTTTGTCAATTTTTAGTTATATTAGTATTCGTCATACTACAGTTGGACCACGGAACGTTCGAGTTAAATGTAGTTTTTCTTTCGAGTAACCGAGGTTTTCGCAAGGGAACGGCCTTTATTTCGACTTATCAAGATTTTCTACTCATCAAGGTTCCACTGTATTTGTATGTGACGGTTAGATTATTAATTTATTTATTCTAAAAATTTGATAATACAAACTATAGACTAAAACAATCGGTAAGCTTAACATTTTATTTTTTTTTCATTTACAGAGCTATGATTACATAGGTAGGTGCGTAAAAAACAAAAAAAAAAAAAAAATAAAGAAACAAATAAAAATAAAAGACGAAAAACAATTGGAGCCATTATTTAACGTTTACTCTGGTAATTTTTAAACATACAAGCTCAGTAAACAAGTTGGATGGTAAGACCATGCATGTGTATATATTATGATGCATGTGGCTTACATAAAAAAAAAAAAAAAACGGAAAAAGAAAAAGCCCACTGTGGTGAACGATGTTCAGGGTGGCGGAGTGGTAGACGGTGTGTTTGATGTTTTGTCATTTTTAAATTGTATATTATTTTCCGAACACTAACTGTTATTCACAAGGGATTACCGGGAAAAACATGAATCGAAACTATTGCACACGTATGAATACATAGGGACTATTATTCTCGGACGCGGCCGCGTTTCGGACGACCGGTGGAACGCGGTTTTAACAATTCCCCATTGTGGGCAACATGAAACGGGCGAACACGTGGTGTTTACACGGACTGGTGGTGCGTATGGCAACGACAACGGACGACAATCGCGCGGGCCGGCGGATAGCGTTTGAGACGACGTGCCTACTAATTCTACTGCATCGAATCGATGGCGTTTTTGACAAGTCGACGAGGGAGGGAAAAAAAATGTCTCCGCAGAACCCCAAATGAATCTCATTAACCTGCAGTTGGACTGCAGTTTACCGCGCGTTCGGAATCCTCGGCAAAACGAACCGCTTGCGCTCCCTTTGATCTCGACATCCGGACGATTTTTGCCGTAAACCGTAGTGGTAACGCGATACGTTGTAATAGGTACGCGAAGCGCGACATTGAGATACGCTACGGGTGAGCAGTCGCAGAGGTCCTTGTCCTAGGCTTTATAGGCGTGGAAAAAAATAAAAACGCAACGCCGAGAATTCGATGATTTCGTCGGTGCACCGAAAAATATGTTTCTTAGACTTATTGAACACACGGTTCTCAGTGAAATACTTGGTAATTGGTCACGACAACGATTGAGATAGAAAGAGATGTACCGGCATGATTATGCGAAATATTTTTTGATTCAAAATAACACGACATATTTGCAACAGATCGATTTTCTGCTTTGATTTGTCACCACGCATCTATTTCGTTAATCATTATTTTGATTTAAAATAATTTTTGTATTTTCCCGTCATAAATCGACCAATTGTACTCCTTACATTTATTTCGCTACTCCACTATGAACATTATACGTATGAATATTTGAAAACAGTTAAACGTCATTACTAAAAAGTTGTACAATAATAGCTTTCTCGGTTTTCCATGGTCCTCCACTAAAATCTGATTCCTCCAAGCCACGTAGAGCATGGTGTACGCCTGTCCAAAACTCTGCGCCAAGGGGAGAGTTTAAGAAATAAAAACTCGTCTGCAGACGAATAAAGAAACGATCGTTGAACTACTGATGTGTAGCAAAATTCATTTTTGTCAAAGACGACGTCTGTTTCACACATGTGAAACGTCGAAAAACGATATTATTTCGGAAAGGGAATTGTCGAGTCACTCGGTAAAATGCATGTAACAATAAAAAAAAAAACAAACCAACCCAGAGTTACATTTTCGGCAATTCGACGGCGATGTGCGCCCATCGTATTATTATTATTATTATTATAACTCAACGAAACAGAGAAATTGTATGTTCCGGAGGCGCACCGCACAACACACACACACACATTGTGTCCGAAACAGGTATTTGTTCTCTCTTATGTGATCGTATTCTTTTCACAATGCAGCCGTGCCGGAGACACCACCTAGAAGGGTGGCGGTGGCGACGGTTTCGCTGGCAAGAGCAGAGGGTCGTAAGGATTTCTCTTCACCCGTATAATTTATTATATTACGTCCATACAGGGTGGTTATTTTGACGTCAGTCTAAAAAAGGATTTAATTCAAAAATGTTCATACAAAAATATATTATTACAATAAATTTGTATCATAAAATTAATGTGTCTAGACGAGATTCACTTATTTCGGTTCTTCGAGTTTAAAACGATAGTGCACTATTACGAACAACTCATACACATGTGCCGTCATGTGATCCTGCCAATGATCTCAACCGTTTGAACGTCCGGTACGCCAAAATATTGTAAAACCAGTATGCCAGTGAAACAAAATAAAATACATTATAAGCACATCCGAGATTCTAGAGTATCACTGTGATAAGTAATTTCAAACGATACAAAACGGGATAATAAAAATATTTTATATCCACTCCAGAAACTCTCTGTCCGCGCACATGGACAAACGGTGCAAAAAATATCACGAGTTATATTTTAGGAAACTGTTACATTTTTTTCATTTTTTCTACACTTCGGTTGACATTTCACACGGAGGAGGACAAGCGGTCTTCACAGCGATGAGCATTAGACGCGTGATGCGTAGGGACTCGAGACGGTTTTTCAAGGGTTCGGAGGAAAACATTCCAAAATGGCCTTGTCGAAGTCAATCCCTTCGCGTGGCCACCGGGCCCGATAGAGATCATCGTGTTCGAATCGACTCGCCCCCGTCGTCGCACAAGAACGAATCGCCCCGCGCACGACTTCCGCCTCCACTCCGGTTCTTTCTCTTTGTCAGAGGGACGACGGCGACACGGTCGGCAAACACATAATACCTGAAAACGAACCGCCGCCGCCGGTCGTATGGAACAACGCGCGGCGAGGCCTGTCAAACGTTGACAAGTGGTCTGCCCGAATTGGCGTGCAACACGAAACGTGGGCGCGCGCACGCACATGCACACGGCCCGTACACACGCACGCAAGCCATCGTGGACACGGGTCGGGGGGCGTGATCCGGCGAGAGGTGGATGGGAGGGGAGACGGTGGTGGTAGACGTGTTGTGCACATACCTGCTGCCCAAACGCGACGGGCAGAAGCAGCTGCACTGCAACTGTACTATAATCTTCCCTATATCCGCCCGCCGCCTCTTTCGTCCTTCGTCCTTTTCGACCACCGCCCC